AAACTTTCGCTCCATCTACTTACCTTAGCGTTGTCCACTGTCGTATGTTCTCTTGAATTATCAGATACGCTGCTTGTTGCTTCAGTAAAACTTGGTAGTGACACTAAAATCAGTAACACTTCTAGGTAACCATCGAAGATTTTCACGTTTCAGCGCTATTTAAAATTCGAGTTAGTTTACGCAAGGCTTAAATGGGTAATTGAGTGAAAATCACGTAGATCGATAAAAGCGAGGATGTTGCGAAGATGCGCGAGTGTTTGTGGGTGATTCCCACACAACGTTCTTCTCATATGAGAACAAATAGACGTGAAAAGAGGGCTTTGAGTCCAGTGAGATATCAGCGATGTTTTGTTGGGTGTGAACGACTTGTTTTCATACGAAAGACGAAAGAAGTTGATGTTTTGGAGAAATTCAACCGTCATCGTCTTTTGCTGCCTCATGTAATTCCTCAAAAACGTTTACGACTATTTGAATGGACAGTGCCTAGGATAAAAGCTCGAGCATGAGAGCAGTATTAGTTTAAACATAATTTGTGCACAAACCTGAGCCAAATAACATCGCAAGGCGCTTTGGAATTTGATGATCACCTTTGTCAAGGCTGCATCACGAAGTTCTTCCATTTTGGCAACAACACCAGCTCGGAAAAACACCTACAGATTCTATTTTTTACCAAGACTTATAAATTTCTAAACACTTCATACCTTATTTGCTCCAATTTTGAACTTATCCTCTGAAATCTGATTTTCATTGACAAGTCTTTCAAGCATTCTCTTCGATGCCTTAAAATCTCCATTCTGTTATTGTAGCTTATTTTAAAGTTCTCATTATCACTTCAGTCGCATTTTTCTCAGCTGCTTGATCGGCCGCCAGGATAGCATAGCGGAACCGGAAATCAGCAAACGTCATTCGGTTCGGGAAGCCTTTCCGGCAAATTCGAATTCCTTCCAGAACCCCATTGCAGGTGAGCTAAAACATGCAAGTAAATAAAGCTAATCATACATGTCTGTTGATTTCGACGTAAATGGAAATCTAGGACAGCTGACACACCTGATTCAAAACCAAAGGTGCGTCTATCAGCCCACTTGTTTTCTTCTCATTAGGAATAATGCATCTGCAATTTAAAAATGAGTCTGATCGAAAACACGTAAGACTCAAACCTGATGAAGTGCGGATGTGTTGTGTGCAGCATACCCATCAAACTAGTTAGGGATTCTCTGTACATAGTGGATACGGTAAGGAAAGAGGCCGATTTTCCCTTTTTGCGATCTTGCGTTTTCCCTAAAAAGTTACCACAGAGTTATTGCATCAAATGGGATGATAATGTCAATGACTTAACTCTCTACAAGCATATTTTGATGCAAGATTTACCTTTGAGTGTTTCTGTGCCCTAACTCTATAGTAACGCAACATAGCACAATATTATTCAAGGTGCAAAGCCAAATTCAAATAATTTGAGATTGAGGCCTGCTTTCTCCAAAA